TATATATATATATATATATATATATATATATATATATATATATACATATATATATATATATATATATATATATATACACACATACACACATATATATGATATGTGTGTGTGCGTGCGTGCGTGCGTGTGCGCGTCATGCAGAAGAAGAGCCGCACTGAAGAAGGAAGTTTCGACGCAGACTTCCCGCTCTCGGGCGGGACCTCCCTGTGGCCGGGCGGCCGAGTTCCTCTTGGCTTTCTTTTCCTGCTGTTTCGGTTTTCCTGAGGCATCTGCTGTCACCTGGGGAGGCGTCTGGGTCGGCTGGAAGCGGCACGGACGTGGCGTTGATTTCGCTTTGCCATTTAAAGGTGTTTAACGCCAACTCTTTCCGATGTAAGCTGAACGCGTGTTGAAGCGCAAATGAATGGTTTGTTTCTCTCAACAAAGTCGATATTTTTTCTTTTTTGAAAGAACGCATGTACAAGCTTCTTTTAAAAGCTCTTTTCTTAGATTTCATTTCTTGCAGCTATCAAGATTTTTTCTTCTCAGAAGCATGAGGTGGCGCTGCTGCAGGCAGTCTGATAAGTTTGGGCCAAGCGGCCTGAGGGAGAGCGCCCAGGTCTTCGCATGAGGCCGCGGGATCACTCTGGCCTTTGACCTGACCGCGTCTTCTCCGGCCACGGGTGCCATGGACGCCGAAGGTTCTCCCGTGGGCATCTGCACTCACGAAGGAAGTAGATGGGAATTCCAGCCGACCCTGTGCCGCGGAGGAGCCGAAGACGAGGGCAGGCCTGCGGGCGCGAGGGCGGAGCGGCACAGGCGGCCCTCGGCGTCAGAGTCTCCGGCCGGGCGCCGCAGGGACGCGGTGTGGATCGAGGAACCTCCTGAGCACGGCGGCCAGATCCTGGTCGTTCTGCAGCCGGCCCGCCTCCACTGCGAACTGCAGGACCTGCAATAGCGAAAGCGGTGACACTCCTTTTGGAATCCTCTCGCCGGTGCTGGCGCGGACAGCGAGATCGGACACCCCCCCCTCAACAACCCCGCCGGATGCCTACCCTGCACATGCGGCCGGAGTCGTCGTAGCGCTCGTCCCGGGAGAGGCTGGTCAGGGTGGCCCGGTCGACGCACAGGGCCTCCCCGACGGAGCGCCAGCTGTGCGGATGGCCTCGCACCGCCGCGGACACCACTGGACCAGGCGGAAAGGTGGACACATAGATACGAGCGGGTTAATACATGGATAATGAGATATATAGATGAATGTATAGATAGTCTCACGGTTGCACAGTTTTTTTGTTTTTTTGTTTTTTTTTGCACGAAGTAGAAAGGAGAAAAGAAACAAGGCTGCAATACTCACACACGTCATCGATGTCAGGGCCGGCCAGGTACCCTACCGCAGGGAGGAGGTAGGAGCCAGGGCGGGCGCAGAGCGAGGTGGGCAGCCGGGGCGCAGAGCAGCGTGGGGGCGGGATCCAGGCGTGCGCAGGCCGGTGTAGTGAGGGCAACGGCGAAGTCGAAGGGCGGAGGCGTACAGGGAGGGAGGGGGAGTGAGAGCGTGAGGGAAACACTCCGGGAAGAGAGCCCCGAAGGCAGCATAAGATCAGTATGAGCACACACAGGGAACAGAGCGAGGCGGCGGACGTGCCAGGCGCGGCCACTCACTGTCAAGCCGCTCCGAGAAGGACAGGTCTATCCGACGGAGGTGCTGCCGCAGGGCGTCCACGGAGGTGCCGGCGCCTGCAGGGTGTGTCAGCACCTGGGGACGGGGAGGGGGGAAGGGAGGACAGGGGGGGAAGGGGGAAAAACGGAGGGTGGAGGCGGAAGGGGAAGGGGAAAAGGGGAAAGAGAGGGAGCACGGGAGGAGGTGGAGGGGGAAGGAAAAAGAAGAAGGTGGAGGTAGGAAGAGAAGGGGAAAGGAGAGAGAAGGAGGGGGCAGGGGTAGGTGGAAGTAGAAGGGGGTAGAGGGAAGGTGGGGACGGAGGGAGACAATGGAGAGGTGGAGGGGGAGGGGGGGACGGGGAAAGGTAGAGATGGAGGGCAAGTAGAAGGGAATAGAGAAGAGGCGAAGAGGAAAAGATGGAGAGGGAAGGGGAATGGAGTGGTGGAGGAGGAAGAGGAAGTGGAAAAGAGAGATGTGGAAGGAAGAGGGAAAGGGGGAAGTGGAGGGGGGGGGTGGAAACAGGGTGGAGGAAGGTCAAGGAGAGAAGGGGAAGTGGAGAGGAAAGAGGATGGGATGCAAGGAGGTGAGGAAGTGTGGGGGGGGGGTGAGGCACGGAGGGAACAGATTGATAAGGAGTATATGGGGAAGGGAAATGGAGAGGAGGAGAAGGAGGACGAGGAAGAGGAGGGGAAGGGGAGAGGGGAAGGGCGTGAAGGAAAAGAAAGAAGGGGATGGAATAGAGGAGGGGAAGGAGAAAGGGAGAGGAGGAGGAGGGAAGGGGAAAGACAAGATGGACCGAATAATACACTCATCACTTACAAGTACAGCAGCGGCCATACACAGCTATTTAGCAACCAAATAAATCCTGTGATGGACTGAGACTCTCTAGGTTAGAGAATCTTAAATGTATGTCGATATTAATGTAGTAAGTGGCTAAAATAATTATGAAACCATTACCCGTGTCACAGCCATAAAGAAACAATAATGTACTGTTAGTATATGTTAATGAAATCGTTTTTTTCCGAGTGTAATACGAAGCAGAAAGATTGCATGAATAATGCAATGCAATATCCTCAAGATATGAACAAGAAGAATTGTAGACTTAGGCCCTTAACTTAAGGGGGGGGGAGGAGGACAGGAAGAAAGGGAGTGAGGAATGGGAAATCTTGGCCGACCACAGGTTTGTTATCTTTTTTTAATGATCTTTTTTCTATCTTTCAACATTAGACGAGTATTTGAGACGCATGGCCAGAGGTGACGTTGGCCGTCCATGCAAACAAACACAAGAGTTTGTTGCTTATATATATATATATATATATATATATATATATATATATATATATATATATATATATATATATATATATATATATATAGAGAGAGAGAGAGAGAGAGAGAGAGAGAGAGAGAGAGAGAGAGAGAGAGAGAGAAAGAGAGAGAGAGAGGAGAGGGGAGAGGAAGAGGAAGAGGAAGAGGAAGAGGAAGAGGAAGAGGAAGAGGAAGAGGGAGAGGGAGAGGGAGAGGGAGAGGGAGAGAGAGAGAGAGAGAGAGAGAGAGAGAGAGAGAGAGAGAGAGAGAGAGAGAGAGAGAGAGAGAAAGAGAGAGAGAAAGAGAGAGAGAAGGAGAGGAGAGGAGAGGAGAGGAGAGGAGAGGAGAGGAGAGGAGAGGAGAGGAGAGGAGAGGAGAGGAGAGGAGAGGAGAGGAGAGGAGAGGAGAGGAGAGGAGAGGAGAAGAGAGGAGAGGAGAGAGAGAATGGAGAGATGGAGGAGAGAGAGACAGAGGAGAGAGAGAGAGAGAGAAGAGAGAGAGAGGGAGAGGAGAGAATGATAGAGGAGAGAGAGGAGAGAGAGCAGCTAAGCATGAGCGCAGAACGAGGAGAGGACGGCCGTGGGCGGCGGCCCGAGCGACTCACCCTGCGGCAGAGGATGGGCGTGGGCGTGCGCAGGTCCCTGGCCACGTACTGGGGCACGCCCATGGCGGCCGCCAGGCGCTCCAGGATCACCGGACAAATCTGGCGCTCCAGGAATCTGTGGGCTGAGGGCGGCGCCGTTAGTGTTCATGACTCTAGGCAGCGTTTTTGACCGGAGATGAACCCATTTTCCTCTTCAGAAAAAAGTTTATCAAAATCATAAAAAAGTTTAAGGATCGCGCCACCATTTCAATGCTGTAGACGTACAGACGATTTTTCTGTTCAGGTTGACTAATGAAATTGCTCATATCTGAATGACTTATTTTTTATCAGTTTCAAGACTTACAGGCCTTTTCCTTACAAGTAAAAAAATGTTTATGAATGGATGTATATTTAGCTTGGAGAAGTTTCAAGGTAAAGCCCAGTTCCCCAGTTCCTGCTGACACATCCATGGTGCGTGGACTGTTAGCATCACGCATTTTGTGAATGGAATGCTCATGTTTGTATCAAAGCCTGTGATCCATCATCATCATCGGCGGGCTAACGCCGACGGGGGCGCATGGCCGCATCCACCCTGCGATTCCACGAGGGTCCCTCATGGCGAGTCACCAGGCAGGCCCTCGACCCATCTCCTTGCGGCAGGTCTCGTCGAGCTGCCCTAGCCATGACCTCCTTGGTCGTCCCAGGGCCTCCTCCACCCAGAGACAACCTGATGGGCAGGGTCATCCACAGGGAAACGAGCTAGGTGCCCTTATAGCCTGAGTTGGCGATCCCGGATTATGCAAGTAACAGGTCCCATGGCAGTCTCACGGTGTAGCCGTCGGTTGGGCACATGGTACTGCCAACTGTACCCCATGATCCGGCGAAGAGACTTGTTACAAAAGGAATCAAGACAAGACTCCAAGGCGCTAGATAGCGTCCAGGTTTCGCTTCCATGCAGCAAATCATTGAAGACACGTAGCTTGGTCCTTCTGCATAGGTACCAACATCTTCAAATGCTCTTGTTGATCGAGTTCATGACTCCTGCTGCCAGGCCAATCCGTCTACTGACTTCTTGGTCTGACAGCCCAGAGATATGAACTATGCTACGAAGGTGGTAGAAAAACCCACAATGTAAAACTAGATTTATTGAAAGTGAGACAACAGGGTCGGAATCCACCTGTATTCCATCCTCAGGTCTGACCTGAGGATGGAATAACAGACCCCAAAGTCCTGAATTTAGGCCGAAAGGCTTCACCTCATTGCCAAATACATCAAGCGCCGCCACCGGTGAATCCAGGGACTCAGGAGAGCAACGTCATAGGCAAAGTCAAGGTCTTACACCTTGCTATTGCCCCGTGATGTTCCACACTGACTTTGGATAGTAGCTCTGCCCATTGTCCAGTCCTTGCAGGTGTTGAAAAGTGTTGGTGCACGGACACAGCCTTGCCTCACGCCTGAATTGACGGGGAAGAAGTTCGACAGGCCCCACCACACTTTACAGCACTTTCAGTACCGGTAAGCTTGCTACTTAGACCGTGTCGGAAGGCCTGTGATTGACTCGCGATATTTCGTAAATATAAAAAAAAAATAATATTATTAGCCATCAAAACATATATAAAACTTGGACACATTAATATATTTTGTCCAATGCCAACACTATTAAAATAGAGCAATTGGAACTGGTGTAACTAGCCACTTCGGCACATCCACGGTGGTCAAACATTGGGACAACGGTTAATCTCATATTAAGCTTTGACAAAAATATATATATTTAAGTTTCTGTTAAACCTATAAATGTAAAACATAACATTTGAGAAGATATGATGATATATATAAGATATGAATCGCATATCACTGTCTGTAACTATAATCCGTGATGTTTTCTCACCTGTCTGGCTTCCTGAGACAATTTAATGAATGACAAATGACCTAATTGCTTCATGGGTCGTTTACGTTAACGACGTCTAAGATAATGCAAACTCAAATCACATAGAGTGATTCCCGTTGAAAAAAACATCAAGGATTGCAGTCTGTCTCTGTCTCGTGCGAAATATATAGAGAAAAGGGCCGTCCGTAACAACCTCCTTAGTGGCCACGGAAATCACCAAGCGAGCGACAAGGACTCGTCAGGATGGTTTTTATCGAAACTTGTCGATTTTAAGGACCAGCCTCACGAAATAGGCGCAGAAGTCATGTCTTGAAGTTCAAACATAGGTATCTATATATTCCAGTGGAAATTATTGTTTTGACCGAAATCAAATTTTCTATGATAAAAGTAAAACCATTTGAATAATGGAAACTTGCAATAGCGACAGGAGATTTGGGAGGCAGAGGAAACTTAGATTAGATTTATGATATATACACAAAATAAATACATAAACAACTATATATACGTATATTTGTGTGTGTGTGTGTGTGTGTGCGCGTGTGCGTGCGCGCGTGTGTGTGTGTAGATGTGTGTGTGTGTGTGTGTGTGTGTGTGTGTGTGTGTGTGTGTGTGTGTGTGTGTGTGTGTGTGTGTGTGTGTGTGTGTGTGTGCGCGTGTGTGCGCGTGTGCGCGTGTGTGTGTGTGTTTGCTGTAGCACGTAATAGTTCGTCACTCTATGCAAACTGAGAGAGTGAGACAATGAGAGAGAGAGAGAGAGAGACAGAGACAGAGACAGAGACAGAGAAAGAGAGAGAGAGAGAGAGAGAGAGAGAGAGAGAGAGAGAGAGAGAGAGAGAGAGAGAGAGAGAGAGGCAGAGAGAGAGCGAGACAGGGAGAGTTCACAAATGCGACTCCAGATACTCCTAACACCACAGCGGAGGTCATGCGACAATTAATAGAAGTTTCCCCCCCGATACCATGAGCCAGTGTGCATCTCACCCGCTGCACTTCTTTTCTAGACATGCCTAACCTCTGAAAAGTGGCCATCCCTCTGGAAGGAGGCGAGGGCGGTGGCCATGTACAAAAAGGCCACGAGAACCGATCCCAAGAACTATAGACCCGTCTCCTACCTATCAGTTCTTGGCAAGATCTTTGAGTCCATCACAGTCGACAGAATTTCATAATTCTTTACTTCTCGGCTTTCTTCGGTTTTCGCACAAATAGATTTGCAGCTGATTTGCGACTCCACATGACCGCCACTTGATACAAGGCCCTTGGCCAAGGCATGGGCACCTTCGCCATAGCAAACTACAATGCAGGGGCATTTGACAGGGTGTGGCACCTCGGCCTCGCCGCCAAACTCAACGGCGTAGGAGTGCGTGGCGACCTCCTCCGCCTTATGCAAGACTGTTTTAGAGGTATTTCCTCGGAGTATCAGTGGACGGTCGCACCTCGGAGGGAAAACCGCCAGGCGCCCACTCCTCTGGAACATTTTTCTTAGAGACCTGCTTCGCCTGTCCACAGAGGCACATGCCTATGCTGATGACTCACCCCAGCTTTCCCCTGTGGCAGTGGCGATCATCATGCTGCTGTCGCACACATGAACCAAGTTCTTCAAACCATCGTCTCACGAGGGAGACGCTGGCAAGTCGATTCAGCTCCAGATAAAACGCAGCCAAGGCTTATATCTCACTTATTATCTCATCATCCTGGGTGTGAAAGTCAGTAATACCCTGACTGTCACTAATCATTTCCGTAATGTCGCCAAGAAAGCCAGGTGGAGACTGAGCTGTGTGCGGCGCATCTCTCACCTGGATGCTCGGGGCATTTCCTCTCCGTATGCAGGTCAAGTCCGCTCTCTCAATCATGGGTCTTCCTACCCATGATTGTACCCTGCCTCTTAAACATGGTGCAAAACCAACCGCCTCCTCGCCCGCAACCCGTACAGCGATGTGGCGGGTCTGTGTGTCACATACAAACTGCACAGACAGCACTCTCCACATACGGCTTCCCTCCAACCAGCGTGGGCAGCACAACACAACTCTACTTCCGACGCAAGGGACCAACAGGCCGCGGTCCCCTTCGCCAGGACAGAGACCCTCCTGC